GTTTAGCAACGACAGGTGCAACCTAACCATATTGAGAATTCATGTTATTGCCTCACTTATAAGTTGTGTGATGAATTTCAATAGCTATGGCCTATAGCAAATCATAAATTGCCAACAAGAGAAAATAACAAATTCTCTTATATGAGCCTAATCAAAAGATTATAGGCTAAATATTATCAATTAAAGATAAGCATATTCAATATGTGATATATTTGTCCCTTATGTCTTGGACACCAAAAACTCAATTTAGTCATGCACATCATATTTGGTACTTACAAGGCATGACATGACAAGAGATATTCTTATTAATTCATAAATTAGAAAAATGAGAGAAGTACCGTTCGCCGAAGGCCGAAGGATAATGAGCACATGTTTGCTGCCGGGCCCATTCATTCCTATTTTGGGGAGTCAAAAATAGTAATTTTCCAAGCAAGCTCTCATTTTATCTCATAGTTTCATACAAGTATGAAAATATCACAAAACAACAAGATATACAAGCTGAAAATGGCAGAAATTTTCAGAATTTTGACCTGGATTGCTGAATTTTCTGGGTAAAAACGGTAACACATTTTGACACAAAATTTTGCAGATATGTAGTTCAGCAAGACTAGAACGTACACGAAAATTTTCATGCCAATCCAACGTCTAGAAGTATTTTTTCTAAAAATTTTCCCAACATTGCTCCAGGCAGAAAAATAATTGACAGCACAGTGCCAAAACTTTAATTTTTCTGGAATCACCAAAGCATATTTTTAACAAAATCTTTTTACAGACATCAAATACCACGAGTCTAGGTTCTCCAGAAAAAAATCCATGACAAAAGGAGTTCAAGAAGTATTTTTCACGAATTTAATTTTCAAACTGCGCCGATCAGAATTTTCAGGCAGTGATTACTATGTGTAAAAAAAAATCACAACTTGTTTGCTTCAGGCAAACCAACATGATGTGAGTCAATTTTGACTTTCGGAGAGTATCATAGCATTAGAAATAGAAGTTGCAGACTTCATTCATAAGTCATTAGTCACTTTAAAGATCAATCCACATTCAGGGTCTTCCAGACCTTATCAAAAATAGCCCAATGACCAAACTCTTAGCACAATTTTGTCATGTACTACTACTAGAGTACAATACGACCATTGACAATGAGACCCGCATACACCAAATATCCTTCAGGGATTCACTTAGGGTCTATAGATCCTTTTAGATCAAATATCTATAATCGAGGCCCAAGATTACGGGTGACTGATAAAATTAGTGCTCTTGATTTACCTTCTGGGTAAAACTATATTAAAAAAAATTAGACACTCTCATTTTGTTTAAATACTCCGATTTAAGATTTATTCTAATGCCCAAGACTCATGTGAAATAATTTCTATAGCAAATTAGCACCATCAATTAACTTTTAAAAATAATACAAAGCCAATTTTACATTGGGAAAACTGTTATGCTATGACTTGTTGCCTTCTGGGCAATGCTATGTTTAGAAATTTGACTATAATCACTTGTTGATCATGATGATCCTTCAGGAACGGTCATATAATATGTGCTTCATTTCTGGGCAAATATTACATGCATTTATGCAAGTTCCCATTAAGATTTAAGAAAAATCTTATCATCAAATATGACCTATATCAAGTAATGTCAAATTTTCTTTCGTGATTCACATGACCATATTGCATAAGAGAGCAAATTGTGACACAAAATAATTGTCACATAACCTTCATAACAATTACCATGTAATAAATGAAATGATAATTTATAAAATTTCATGCTTATCACAATATTTTATGTTTCAATCATGCTCTAGTGACTCGTAAAGCGGAGGAGAATCACAGTCTCTCACATCCGAGTCACCTGTACAGGTGACTCGGAAAGTGTTTTATGGGTGACTCTAAAAGCTTTTTTTGTACTAGTGTCTCGAAATTTTAGGCATCAACGGGATGCAAATGCATATGACGTATAACCTTCTTAACCAACATACATGATCCCTCATCAAAGTTTAATCATGCTATAAAAACAATCTTCAAGCATATATGATCACATTTCTTTAATCTACATAGTAGTTCCGTTCATTCTTATACTACCACACAAACAGGAAGATTACTATCGTATATAAAGCATGAAGAACACTACTACTTGTACAGTCTGTTCACAATAGAAGTGGCCTGGGAGCAACATTCTATGAATGTGCTACTTGAAGCAGAAAGAGATTGACAAAGACAATGAATAGTTAATGGGGGAAAATTGAGTGGGACCCCAAGAGATGAAAAGAATTAAAAAAGTGAAATTGCACCTGCTACAGTTACAGGGAAAAAGCGCACCTTGGACTGAACCACATCATAGGAGATGGAAAAGGCTACGCAAATTAGACATCCCTTTTCTTTATAGCATATCACATATCACCGCACGTAATTTCATGTATTGATTATGCAATTGTGCAATAAATAGAACAGCGTAGATTTCTAAACATAGCATCACAGCAAGTCACTATTCAATAATAATGAGGAAAACGTACCCACATAGGTGCCTGGGCAGTGACTGGTTTAGCCGCCGACGGTCGGAGGGCCGTGACACCTCCTGGGGCGTGACCGAGCGGAGGCATGGGGAGAAGGCTGACCTGGTCCGGGGACCTTGACGGTGCCTTCACCATCATGGCTTGAATCGTGAAGATTGGAGCATGCGGTGGGATTGGAGGTGGACTGGACAGACTGGGTGATCAGATCGGCCACCATGGTTTTGGCCGACCCCTCTCTGTCGCCCCCGCCGGCGCCGGACGACGTTGCCGCGGAAATCTCTATTCCATCTTCGCGTATTAATATACGCGCACACAGTCTGGAAAGAGGATTACGTTCGCCGTATCACGGAGGGGACGGCCGCAGAAGCGTACGAGATGGAAGCATCAAGGCTGACGGGGCCGGAGATAGACGCAGCTTGGGGATCCGCGCAGAGAAAAAACTCCACTGGGGTATTCCGTCGCTCATCCATCCCAACATCATGCGACATCTCACGATCGTACCCCTTTTGGATGAACGAACCTAGGGTTTCGTCTTATGGCTTCTCGTCAACGATCAATGCTGCTAATCTTGTTTTGGAGGTCGGAATTGATAATCCAATGGTTAAAGCATCGTGTGCTGATAACGTGTTAAAAAGAAATATTCAGAATAGTGAATAGAGAGATAAGGGAGAAAGGGGGAATCATGTCTTCAATCATTTGTACAATTTCCATTACACATACAATACATATATTTAATACCAAATAATAATGGCATACATAATGAGACATTAATATGTCTGTAACAAATTAAACGTTACAAAATAATGGCCACCATTAATATTTATAACAAAAAGGAGATATATTTTAAGATATTACTCAAAATTAGATTGTATTAGCAATTGATAAATAAAATCCGACAACAATATCTAGGTACATGATTATTTTCTCCCAAAAAGATGAATTTCCAACTCCAAAGATCCCTCACGCTCTGACCCGACGGAAAATTCTGAAAAAGGTAAATCACGGACTGAATGACTGTGTAGACATGGCCAAATATCGGTCCGTACAAGAAATTTGTCCGTGTTAATTAGCATAATTCCCACACTGCCACCGTCGAGGTTCGAAAACAAAATTGATTATATTAAGTAGTTGGTAGCCAACAAGGTTGATTATATTAATAAAAAAAAATTATTTTCAGTTTAAATTCGTTACAAGATTATATTTAGAGTGTGGATAGAATTGATTTATTTGACTAAAATTTTTAAAATTTAAAAAAGGTTAAAGTGTTAAGAGTGTGAATAGAATTGATTTATTTGACTAAAATTTTCAAAATTTGAAAATGTAAAATGTTAATATACATAATAATTAGCCAACTAAAACGCAATGTGATGACATGACATCTGTATTCCAAATGGATGATCACAACACCAAACTCCAATGGCGGCGAGATTAATTTTTTTGGCTGAAAAAGATTGAGAAATTATAAATAATTAAAATGAACTTTTAATGCTCCGAAAAAATAGTCAGTGAACAGTAGGTGAAACATGAGTCTCATACCAAAAAATCTTACTCTCAATTGATAGATCAAATATGTCACACGATGTTCACACACACATCAAAAAATATTACTCTTATTAATTTGTAGGGGCGTATAGGTCTTTGTACTCGTTATTCCATACAATTCCAAATCTAACCAAACAATAGAATTAGTATATATTTCTAGTAATTCTTTTTCTACCAATCAAACAATGAAATTCATCTTCCTAGTAATTGTTTTTTCATGGAATTTCAATTCCACTTCCCTTAAAATATTTTCCGCCAACCAAACGAGTCCTAAAGGATACAGTGAAATTTTACCTGTTGCCGTTTTATATTCTAGTTGAAAACATGATACGATTCCACGTTGGCTCAACGAGAAATTGTAAAGTGGTATTTGAAGGCTTGATGGGTTCTCTGTATATAGTTCATGATGCCCCTCGTTTGACTTTCGTTTTACATTCGATACGAGTTTCTAGTACTTAGTATCTCCTCCATGTCAACAACTTATTAGGTAAATAGGTCATTTTAGACCTAATTGCATAAATTTGTGTAGTTCAAGGACCCAATTGTATTTTTTTTTGAGTTCGATGGCCTGATTGCAACTTGGTGTGCAGTTCAGTGGCCTATTTGACCCTTATTCCCATAATAATTAGCCAACAACAACGCAATGTGATGACATGACATCTGTATTACAAATGGATGATCACAAGACCAAACTCCAATGGTGGAGACATTAGTTTTTTTATGACTGAAAAAGATTGAGAAATTATAAATAATTAAAATGAACTTTTAATGCTCCGAAAATATAGTCAATAAACAGTGGGTGAAACATGAGTCTCATACCAAAAAATCTTATTCTCAATTGATAGATCAAATATGTCACACGATGTTCACACACACACCAAAAAAAAAAAAAAAATGTCACATTTTTATTGGGGGTCGGAGCCCTTTCATCCAAACCATCTCCTGCAAGTCTACAACTACTCTCACAGTCCTTACACATAAAACATCATATTATTATTTCTTGTTTTTATCAACAAAAATTCTTTATAAGTAAAAATTTGTTCTTGGTCTCTTCCCTCTTGTTTGGGTCCCCTATATGATTCTTAGTTTAAAAGCTGGCACAATTGCACCAGCAACAACATCAGTAGTAGCAGCATAAACTCACTATAATTTCTGCAATGGATCATTTTATGGATGATTTATGTTCTTCCCTTGAGAATCATGTTCAACCCTTTTTACCTCATGATGATGCAGCCCCAAGCAATGAAGCTGAACATGGTAAAATTTTCTGCTATTTACTTTTTTGGATGGTGACTTAATTACCCTTTGCATAGTATCATAGTATATTAGGGCATTTAATTTTCAGAATTTTTTACTGCATAGAATTACAGATTGCTTCTACAAACTCAAAATTTTTGCCCAGAGGAGGGATATGATTTGATCAAACTGTAATCTTTATGTCAACCTTCATTCATCAGTTAGTGGGTCTTGTAAATCTGTAGTCTTTCCAAGTTTCTGCAATGTGAAGTGGGGTTTTACCCCTGTAAATATTTGGGGAAAACAGAAAATTACCCTAAGGGGATGTTTGGTTCATGGAAAATATTTCCAAAGGAAAATATTTTCTTTAAACGGGAGGAAAATGTTGTTTTTTGGTGTTTGGTTGAATTCCTCAAATTTGAGGAAAACAAAATCCTTGGTCCAACCAAGGATTTTGTTTTCCATGGAAGATGGGAAGAAAAAGTAATATGGATTGCCTATTTCGCCTTTGTTTTATTTTTTCATTATATTACTCTTATTAATTTGTAGGGGCATATATGTCTTTAAACTCGTTATTCCTTAGAATTCCAAATCTAGCCAAACAATAGAATTAGTATTTCCAATAATTCTTTTTTTACCAATCAAACAATGAAATTCATCTTCCTAGTAATTGTTTTTTCATGGAATTTCAATTCCACTTCCCTTAAAATATTTTCCACCAACCAAACGAGCCCTAAAGGATACAGTGAAATTTTACCTGTTGTCCTTTTATATTCTAGTTGGAAACATGATACGATCCCACGTTGGCTTGATGGGTTCTCTGTATATAGTTCATGATGCCCCTCGTTTGACTTTCCTTTTAGATTCGATACTAGTTTCTAGTACTAGTATCTCTTTTGTTAGTTTTCTCTATTCTTTTGATTCGTCCTATGTTTTTTATGCGGTTTTACAACACTTGATGATGTAGTTTTAGTCGGTCTTATGCGTTGGAATGAACCCGATGTAAATAAATTGTAATGTTAGGGTTCACATTTGCGGAACTAAACTCTGTTCGTGCAAGTGCCAGTAAAATTATCTGTTGCGACTTCTCATCAGATGGAAAACTGCTTGTCAGTGGGGGGCATGATAAAAAGGTGAATACAATTTCTTGCCCTTATTGGTTCGTAACGTTAATTGTTCTTCACTAGTTTCGTTCGATTATTATTTGGTCGTGCAGGCTGTTTTGTGGCATACGGACACCTTAACGCCAAAAGCTACATTCGAAGAGCATTCATTACTCGTTACTGATGTTCGTTTCAGTCCAAGCATGTCCCATATTGCAACGTCTTCTTTTGACAGGACTATAAGAGTTTGGTCTGCTGACAATCATGTAAGCTAGCCAACAATGTACTATGTGTCTATGTTTTGTTTTTTCTTCATGGTTTTTCTAGCGTTAACGCTATTGGTTTGTTCCGTAGCATGGCTACTCGATTCGGAATTTTACTGGGCATTCTGCTGCAGTATTGTCACTCGATTTCCATCCCAACAACGAAGATATGATCTGTTCGTGTGACGGGGATGGCGAGATTAGGTACTGGAGCGTCACCAATGGTGCAGTAATTTATATTCCATTTTCTTTCCTCGTCACCATTGCTCATAACCACCCATAACTCCAAACAGCATAAACAGATGAACATTATATCGCTTTCTGTTAGTTTATACTCGTTTTCTCATATCACGACTTGAGATCTTTTGTCCATTATTCGGTATAGGGTGGCATGACTCAGGTGAGATTTCAGCCCCGTCTTGGCAGGTATCTTGCAGCAGCAGGCGAGAATGATGTATCGATTATTGATGTCGAAACGCAAACGTGCAGACAGACACTAAAGGTGCTACTTTTACAGACGTATTATGTTGAAATGACCGTCTTTATTAAGAATAATGTATATAAACAATAAACGTGCAATCTAACTATCAGCTTAAAACTTTTCATTAATGTCTGTTGTTCCATTGGCAGGGTACGAAACCTGTTAACTATGTCTGCTGGGACCCTTCGGGCGAGCTACTGGTTACAGTGAGAGAGGATTCTGTGAGAGTATGGGCACTCGGTTCTGGGAGTATAGGGAATTGCGTACACGAACTCGGTTCAAATCACAGTAAATTTCACTCCTGCGTTTTCCATCCTGTATACACTTCATTGGTAGTTATTGGCTGTAACCAGGCAAGTTACATTCTCGGGCTTATATATATAATCCATTCAACGATGTGGTTCTCGTATTAGTACAAGATCGAGTAGCGGGATTTGTCCCAAAACGTGCTGATGTGCAGAGCGTTTTCTTGCAGTCTTTGGAGCTCTGGAACATGAGCGAGAACAAGACCATGGTGGTTGCTGCACACGAACGAATAATTTCTTCGTTGGCTGCATCTTCTGCGACGGGTTTGATTGCTTCTGCTAGTCACGATCAGATGATCAAACTCTGGAAGTAGCAGCATTTGCTTCCATGATTTTCGGCCTGCTGTTGTATGTTCAACTACTTTAGCACTGTTAGTTTTATGGTGTTGGGTAGCTTGGTTTGTGTGGTAATTAAGACACAAGGCCAACCAGTCTGTTTATTGTCCTGGAAAACTGGATTTTGTATAAAGAATTGAAGTATTTCTGTTGTGATCTTCCATTTTTACCTGTATATGAGCTTGGATGAATTCAAATGTGTAATCTCAAGCTTTGTTAAGTTGGCCAAAAGACTTATCGGGCGCTTGGTTAGGAGGGAAAGGAATTGTTCTTTAGAAAACGAAAGAATAATGTGAGAATAAAGTAAAAATTTAAATCCTATTATATGAGAGTCTGATCTTTGTACTATACAATTCAAACTTCTCTAAAACGGGAGCGGTCAAAGAACGCGGAGAACGGCTGAAGGCGGGGCAGGTTAACATAAGTAGTGAAATCAATCAAGAAGGGACCGGGTCGGATCAACCTAGGAGTTGGTCGAAGCACATCAATCACCCGCCTAGTGAGATCAATCAAGAGAGGGGTCGGATCAGCCTAGGAGTCAGTCGAAGCAATTCAATCACCAACCTAGGTGAAGAAGGAGGCAAACGACCAGGCGGTCGAAAAGGGAGAACCCGTTCGAGTGCAGTACTCAATTCCGTGAGTCAATTAAAATACTTTAAGAATTAATTTTTCATTCACTCATTCTCAAATGTCGTCAATTTAGGGGAAATTTGAACATGTGACCTCCCATTTAGGAGATCATAACTACCATTGAATTACAAGCTATTTGATATATTTTAATACTAGTATTTGCACCCGTGCGATGCACGGAATGAATTTGTTGTAATATATGAATCGATATATAATTATTTAAATTATTAGAACATCAAATATTATATAGTGCAATTAAAGATATGGTTTTGATCGTTTATATATTTTGATGTTATCATTGCTTGAATTTGTGCAAATAATTGCTCAAATTAATAGCTAATGTCTAGATGTACGCATGCAGTGCTGTAACTTTGAAGATTTTATTTATCATTGTTTAGTATTTTCATAAATTAGACAAATGTGCTCGTTCTCTAACAACTCAGTTATAGAAATGAATTGCTATCCTTATTCATTTGTATGGAAGGTATATTTTTTGTGTAGATATATAGCAATCTTTCATTTAAAAAAAATAAAAACTTAATATCACCGATTATATTTACATATTATTGACGCCTCTTTGTAGACGACATTGGTAGTGGCAACACAATCTTGTTCATCTTCGTCTAGAGCTAACACCTTCAATTCATCATGACGGGTTACTTGGGTGAAATATATAATGGTAGAATATCACTCAATTAGTTATCTTTTTATATTTTCAGTCAATTAATAATATCATATTCATTTTCAGCCAATTATTCTTTTTTATTTTCAGTCAATTAGTCAATTAGAATATCAAATGCAGTGATATTTTTAACTAACTAGTATTTTCGCCCGTGCGATGCACGGGATAGATTTGTTATAATATATTAAAAATATTTGGATTGATATATAATTATTTAAATTAGAAGATTAAATATTATACAGTGCAATTGAAGATATATTTTGAATTATTTATGTGTTTTGATGTTATCATTGTTTAAATTTGAGCAAATAATTGCTCAAATTAATAGCTTATGTGTAGATGTACGCATGCGATGCTGTAACTTTGGAGATTTTATTTATCATTGTTTAGTATTTTTTTTTATAAATTAGGCAAATGTGTTCGTTCTCTAGTAACTCAATTATAGGAATGAATTGCTATCTTAATTCATTTGTATGGAATATATATATTTTTGTCTAGATATATAGCAATTTTACCATTTAAAAAAAACATAATATCAACGATTGTATTTACACATTATTGAAACATGTTTGTAGATGACATCGGTTATAGCAACGCAATCCTGTCCATCATCGTATAGAGCTAACACCTTCAGTCCATCAGGATAGGTGACTCGGGTGAAAATATATAATGGTAGAGTATTAGTCAATTAGCGATCCTTTTATATTTTAAGTCAATTAGTAATATCAAATTCATTTTCAGCAAATTATTCTTTTATATTTTTAGTCAATTAGAATATCATATGCAGTGGTATTTTTACCTAATTTTTGTTCAATTTTTAATTGATGATGTATAATATTATTATTGAATATTTATGTTCCATTTTTAATTTATCTTTAATATTGTTTAAAATATGCATTTACTATTCATGATGTAGAATTATTATTGAAATATTTCCGTCAAATTTTAGTTTCCGTTCCATTTTTAATTAAAATGCAATGATCTAACCATTTATTTTTTTCATATTAATCAATTATGGATCATTTTTTATTTGCAGTCAACTATTAGTATTCATTTCTTTTTTTATTTTCAGTCAATTTGTAATGCCATATTCATTTTCAGCCAATTATTCTTTTTTTTTTTCATTCAATTAGTCAATTAGAATATCAGATGCAGTGATATTTTTACCTAATTTTCGTTCCATTTTTAATTGATGATGTAAAATATTATTATTGATATATTCCGGTTTCATTTTTAATTTACCTTTACTATTGTTTAAAATATGCATTTACTATTGATGATGTAGAATATTATTATTTAAATATTTCCTTTTCATTTTTAATTTACTTTTACTTGATGATGTAGAATATTATTATTAAAATATTTTTGTTCTATTTTTAATTTTCATTTCATTGTTTAAAATTGTGAAAGATTTATGACATAATTGTGATTTGATCTATTATACTGTATAATATTATTGTGAAAAATTAAAATGCAATGATCTGACCATTTCCTTTTCCATTTTAGTCAATTATGGATCATTTTTATTTTCAGTCAATTATTAATATTCATTTCCTTTTCCAATTAACCTAACTTCAATTCTTTTTTTTTTTTTTTTTCATTTTTGAATTTTTAGTAAATTATTAATATTCATTTCTTTTTCCAATTTACCTAATTTCCATTCCATTTTTAATTGATGATGTATAATATTATTGTGAAATATTTATGTTCCTTTTTTTCATTTTTTTTAATTTACATTTACTATTTACTATTGTTTGGACAGGAAATCAAGTAAATAGGATTTTATTTTTAATTATAGTATAGATTTGATAGTGAGGTTGTAACATACATATATGATGAATTGACTATATTATAAATTGTTTAAATTTGTTATATAGGGTATTATGTTACGTGAGAGCATTGAATATGGAAACAATATTACCAAGATTTTAGTTGATTTCTACTTTACATTTGCTTACAAAATAAGTTGTATTAAATTAGTTGGTGATAAACATCCAAAATTTCTACACGGTAATACAATACCTATACATGATATTACCAATTATGCTATTATGTTATTACCTAATTAATTAATGTCTTTTCTACACGGTATTATAAATATATAAAAAAAATACGGAGAATTTGCAAACAATAATGTTACCAAAAATATTATTATATTAAAGAATATAATTAATATATCTGGAAGATCATATAGGGCACTCTTTGATCCTAAATCAATAAATAATTAGTTATATACACATTTAGCAGTACCAATGTTATTACTAATACTTTATATATATCTGCAGTATTGAACCTTTAATGTGAGATAAGAAAGAAATAATCAGTTAAATGATGCCTTTATTTGGATGCACTAAGACTATTACAATGCTCCATCACTTTGTAAACATGTACAACTTTGGCTTTATTTTATACTTTAAATTATACTTTGCTTATCATTTAGATTTTAATGCATTATTTTAAGCTAATTTATTTATTAACATTAAAAATACATTTTAAAGTGTGACAATCTATACTAATAAATCATTTTAAAAAGTGGCAAAAGATGATTTTCTAATTTGTTGCCACTGCATCAATTTAAAAAAAAAAAATTGTTGCTATTGTTTACCTCGATCATCTCATAAATATCCATAATTTTTATTAGAGGGGTCTAATCAACACATAAACTGAAAAAAAATGACAATCATAAACAAAATATGTACAAAAATAAATGATAAAAACACTTGTGTTTAGATTAACTCTTCATATCATTCTTAACTCTACACAATTGCATAAGAACAACCATAGAATTTGCAAGGCCAAAATTAAAATAAATAAATAAAAAGGTTTCAACTCTTGACCTTGGTATATGTTGATCCCACACTGTAGCTTTCAATTGATTGTCCCTATAAACAAATAAACTACGGAGTACTTAATAAAAAATACATATACAAAATACAATAAAAATAACAAAACTAGATAATTCACTTTGTATCCACGTACAATTAGAAAATCAATAAGTTAAGAAGGCTTCCCTGCAATGATTTTATCCAATGGAGAGTATATCTCAACGACCCTACCAATAACGTAAAACATGTTAATAAAAAAAAATCAGATATAGATTAAAATTGTAAATGAAACTTACCAACGAATTGTTTATCATCTACAGACTTCAAAGATGGAAATGATTTCAATAAATAAATTTGTCTAGAAAAGTTGTCATTTTTTTTTATATTATATAACCAAAGTAGCATAGTGAAATTACAACATAAAATAATGAGTGCATTTTGTGAAAATATAGAAATTACTTATCACCATAAAATTTTTAATGGCATAAGCTTTTCATTGTTTGAAAAGCTTACAGTACTTACCAACATGTTCCCTTGGTATATGAGCATGAAGTTCCCTACAATGAAGTAAAAAAGAAAATTGTTATTTTGCAATTTATTTTTGCAGTATAGGAAGCAGCTTTGTAATGCATCTTTTTCCCAATTTCATATACAACACGAGTTCTAGAAAAAAGTAAAATCGAAAAAAAAATACCATTTGATAGGAAAATATGCACTCTCTAGATTTTATGAAATCACTCCCTTTTCTCTATGGGACTTCATATAGGTGCACACCAATCACCATCTAATAGCTCTGAAAGTCTTCAATGGAGAAATATCCTAAGCAAGAATAAACATTGGAGTCGTATAAAAAAGCAAAATTGAAAAAAAAAATACCTCTTAATCGTGAAACATGCACTCTCTAGATTTTATGGATTCACTCCCCTTTCTCTATGTGACTTCATATAGGTGTGCACCAATTGTAGTCTAATAGCTCTGCAAGTCTTCAATGGAGAAATATCCTGGGCAAGAATAAACATTGAAGTCGTAATAGTTGTATGTTAGTATACATATCTATATCTCTATATATAATTACTCAATATA